GCGGGGGGGGAGGGGGGGGGGAGCGGGCTGAGCCGCCCCGAGCCGACCCATGTGCCTCCTGCAGCAGCTGGAGCTGATCACGCCCTTCCAGCTCTACTTCAACCCCGAGCTCATCTTCCGCCGCTTCCAGGTGAGCGCCACACCCGCCCCTGGTCCGGGTCCGGCCCTGGCCCTGCCCCGCCAGTGCTGGGCCCCCGGCGGGGTGGGAGAGGCCCAGCTCCCGCTCCAGCTGCCTCTGCCTCTTCTCTTGCAGGTCTGGAGGCTCATCACCAACTTCCTCTTTTTTGGGCCCCTGGGATTCAGTTTCTTTTTCAACATGATCTTTCTGTATCCTTTTGTCTCCGGAGCCGCCCTCCTCCTGCCTCACCTGCCCCGCGCGGCCAGGCTCCCCCCGCCGGGGAAGGCCCCTCCCCAGGACCCGCTTGCAAGCCGGGCTCACCTGCCCCCGGCGCGGGGGGCCTGGGCCGATGATCTGCGAGGTCCGGTCCAGCCCTGGCAGCTGTGACGCTCCTCCGGTGCGGCGGTGAGGGGGGCCGTAAGGCCGTGTCGACCAGGGCGCTTGCCATCTCCCTGCGGACTGGTCGTTCAAGGCGAAAGATGGACGGCGGCGCCTGGCTCTGGGGGTGGGCATCTGGCTGGCAGCTCCCTTGGTGAAACTGCTTCCGCGGTGGGCTCGCCGACGGCCGGGCGTGCAGGGCACCCAGCTGTTAATTTCCTATACTGCAACCCCTCCCTTGTCCCCCGCTCCCAGGTACAGGTACTGCCGCATGCTAGAGGAAGGCTCCTTCCGGGGAAGGACGGCAGACTTTGTCTTCATGTTTCTCTTCGGGGGATTTCTCATGACAGTATCCTTTGAGCTGGTGGAGGCCCTCTGGTCCCGGCTCCTCTGAGACTGTATAAATAGGCCACTTGCCCACTTGTTTCTTTCACTCCAAACTCTCCTGAGCTCTCTGGTAGCCTGAGCCCCTGCCCGGAGCCCGGCTTCCCAGAGAGAACAGGGGCCAAAACTCTGACTGCAGACCTTGTGGTCTGAGGCCTGGTGCCACTTCCATCTGACACATGCCTGGTGTGCCTGGGAGGGCTGTTCTGTACCGAGGCTGCAGGCTGTCAGGCTGCCACCAGCAGACAGGCAGCCCTGGTGGCTAATTCCTTTGGCTGTGCTGTGCCCCCGAAGGGGCTTGTCTGCGTATCAAGCAAAGGATAAAGGGGGAAACTGTTTCCTTGAACCGACCGCAGGAGTGCTGATGTATGTGGCTGGGGATAAAGATGATGCGTGACCCTGGGGGCAGGAAACAAGCAGTTCAGTAGGCTTAGCTTGAAAGAGAGCCACCCCGAGATCATCATTAGGTGAAATCAGTGAGTTCTTAAGCTTCCATCTCAGGGGGGCAGATACTGCTCGATAATGGCATGTTAGTCTCTCCAGGCAATTGGCACGTGGGGACTTAGCAGCACTCAAAACGGAGAACGCTTAGTGTTGAACTCTGAGTGAGTGGCAAAAACGAGGTGCTGTGTGTATGCATGGAGCTGAAAGCAGGTCCTGGCCCTGAATCTAGCAGACTGAGAGAGAAGCTTCTGCAGTACGTGCTTATAACCGCTGTGTGATGGGATACCTGTTATATGCAGTCTCTTTCAGCTTTGGAGCCATCTTAAGCACAAGAAATCTGCCTTGAGAAGGGTGGGGACTCTGTTGTCTGGGGCTTGGTGCACCCACCATCAGGAAAGAGATTTCCCACATGATGCCATCTTCCCATAGAGCCGCGCTTATCTTCACAGGCAAATGCTGCCTGAGCAGACGCCTCCGCTCTGCTACAGAGGTGTTAAGTGCTTAGTCACTTGCCAACCCTCCTACAAGCTGCAGGGTCTGGCCCATACTTTGAAACAGTTTAAGCTTGGGTTTAAGTCTCAAGTGCAGAAGGGGGATGAGGCTGTGTAAAACCTTACTCCTGTAGACCTTTGCTTTAGGGTCACTGGGTAGTCAGAGGTTTGTGGGGACCTGGGAAAGGGCTCCAAGGAGCAGGAGCTTTTGTGTATCTTCTACAAAACCTACTGCAAAAGTGTTGGCTGCTCCTTGGGACCTTGGAGGACTGTTCAGGAAGGTGCAGGCCTGGCTGGCTCCTGGCCATTGCAGTGAGGTACAGAATCTCTCTCTGCCACGGCTGCAATTCAGAGCTGGGGTGCTGGTGACTGGAGTGAGAGAGCTGTCATCTCACTTCAGGTCCTAGCAGCCAGGAGCCCGTTGTATTTTTGGCATGCTTGGCTCAGAGCAAGGACTGGTTTGGTAGGGGAACCAACTCTCTTCCTCCAGCAGCTTGGGAAGGCAGAGGGGGCAGAGTAGAGGGGGTGGGGGGACACCATTATTTTTGGATTAAACACTGACTGACTCATTGTGAGCCAATGCAGTTAGCTGCTCCTTGCCAGTTTCCCCACAGGTAAAAAGGGAGCAGCTGAATTTAACCATCCCTACAGACTGCTTTGAGATCACTAGATGTGCCAGGTGTCAGCGGTGCTAGAGCTGCTTCGTCAAGGGCAGTGGGTTAGGGCATCAGTGAACAGCTGGCTGCTGTCCCCTTAGGTTGGAGGATGTTGGTCCTCAGGCCCTCTTGCCAGCACAAAGTTTGCATACTCTTGTACTGCAGGAGAGAAAGAGAGGGCTGTGGCGAGCCACATGGGGCAAGGCTGGATGCATGCTGTGCTGGCTGTGAGGGAATAAACATCACTGTGGGCAGTGGTGTGGACAGGCCAGATGGCTTCTGCAGGGAATAGCAGCTGTGCACACTGCCTGCCAAGAGCAGCAAGGGCCATTCCATGCAGAGCGGGCACTGAATGATTGCTGGAAAACCTCACTGCCCTCTGCCAGTCTTACAGGAGGCTGGTCAGGGATGAGGGAGGGCTCCATGGCTGTCCCTGTTGCCTGGGTGAGAGGTGCAGGGTGTGGCTAGTAACGTGGGTAGCAGAGTGATCAAGTCACTGGCAGCTAAGACAGACCCTCTTGAGAGATTTGCACACCATCAGGTGTCCAGGCTCCATTGTCTGGAGTCTTCTGCAGCCCTAACCTGACCAATCCCCCCTAATATGTACAGTTGAAGCCCCATAAAGGTGCCTGGGGCAATAAGCCTTCCAGGCTAGGGAAAGCCCTGGCTTTTTTGTAAAGTGCCCAGTACAAGAATGCAGCTGCTGCCTCTGCAAAGAGGCTGGTGTCCTCAGCGACCAAAGTGATTGTGCTGCCAAGGAGAGATGCCTCCCCGCAGTGCTCTCAAGGTGCCTGTGGCAGCTGCTCATGGAGTGGCTGAAATGTAAATGGTGCTGTGGGTGTACACTGCTCACCTTCCTGTCCTAGGATGATGGACTGGTGTGAGGATGGCGAGGGGGCCTGATGTGCCTCCAGTTGCCTGGGAAGGGTTTGGAGTTGTGGGCACTGTATTGTACTGAGCTGCCTAGTATCTTCTGGGCCTATTTGTCTCAAAGCTTCCTGCACGTGATGGGCCTTGTGAGTCTGTCCAGTTATCCTGTAGCTCTGGTACATACCATGTGCTGAGCCTGCTTTTCTCCTTGACTCCATAGCTCTCAGCTCTTTGGCCTTTTTGCCAGCCTCTTCTTCCTGGGTCAGGCTTTCACCATCATGCTGGTGTACGTGTGGAGCCGCAGGAACCCCTACATCCGCATGAACTTCTTTGGGCTGCTTAACTTCCAGGCCCCCTTCCTGCCCTGGGTTCTGATGGGCTTCTCACTGCTGCTGGGCAATTCCATTATCATTGACCTGCTGGGTAAGAAAAAGGCCCTTCCTGTGTGCATACCACTGTCTGATGGATCACGCTGAAGCCTTAGCGGGTTGTCTTAGCTGACACAGTGGCCCTGTAATGAGGACCATTGGCTAGCTTGGCTTGTGAATAAGTTGTCACTGGTAAGAGCACCTCTGTGTTGTGCTGGTCAACACTGGCAGAGCCTCCAGCTGTCTGCAAGTGGCAGCGGTGCCAGCTGGCAGTCCACTTCTGGCTCATAGCTGGTGGGGCCAAGAGAGAAAACAGGCTGCTGCTCCTATCCCGTTCCTGCAGTTCTGCTAGCAGTGCAGTATTCCACTAGTATTGCCCCAACCCCAGTAATTTGTTACCTGCCTGAGACCTCCAGGGAGCAGGCTTTTGGCTTATAAGCTGCATGCATATGGCAGTAGGTGACATGGGCTTCTGCCATGGGGTGCACATAGTATCGTGGCTGGCGGGAGGAGTGTTTACATGCCGATTCCTCAGATCACAATGAAATTCCTCTCTCACTGAAGAGGCACACCTGAGGGTCACCCCATGCCTTCCTTTTTCTACAGGAATTGCAGTGGGCCACATCTATTACTTCCTTGAGGACGTCTTTCCCAACCAGCCAGGAGGGAAGAAACTGCTCCTAACACCAGGCTTCCTGTAAGCAGCACTCAAGGTTTTTCCTCCTTTTTGAGCCCTAGTGTGACACCACCCGCCCATGTCATCTGCAGAGCAGGAGCCAGCTAGTCTGCCTTTTACCTCAGGGGCTGTTCCTGCCACCTGCTCCTGGCAAGACCCAGTATCTGAATGCATGCCTGTGGTCTCAATCCAGGGTGTCACAGCTGTGGAAAGCGCCACATCTGTGCACCTTGCTGCCTTTGTGCCTGGCTCGTTCCTTTTGTTAGTAGGGGTCAAGCTTTCTTATTTCCTGCAGTGGCCCTTGGCATCCTCCCACGTGCACGTTTTAAGCCAGGGAAGCATTCCTGAGTTCAGTTCTAAGCAAGGTTCCTGGAGCTTGTGAACAGTAAGATGCTTTTGGATGCTGGGGGAGTAGCTAGTGATTTGATTATTTCACTGAGCTAGGGAAGCCCAGGAAGAGAGGGGGTCACAAACCTCTGTGCTAAGTTGCTGCTTCTCTAAGACAGCAAGGGTTGAGCCTGGCCTGGGCAGGTTCCCAGGAGGCTGGGGAGGTTTCTTTCCTGTCAGGCCTTGGTCCAGATGGAAGGAACAGAGTGATCTTGCTAGCTGAGGATAGAGAAATCATTTGTTAGGAGCCAACCAGTAACATCCCTGTGATTCTGTAGTCATGCAAATATAGCAAAACCACTACAGGATTAACCCTACTTCTGCCAGGGTAAAGGCAGGGTGGTACAGCTAACCTGTGTTGTCATAGAATTGTTTAGACTTATAAGAGCTGATCCATGCTCTCAAGTGGCAGCCTCCCCCTCCCCTTTGAAGTGCTTACAAGGGATGTATGCCCATGCCCTTGCTCAGCTTGCTCTTCTGGTGGGCCTGTTCTTGCCAGGAGGATGGTATTTGACACCCCTGAAGAGGATCCCAACTACAACCCGCTCCCTGAGGACCAGCCAGAAACCCAGCCAGCGGCACAGCAAGAAGAGGACCAGCAGCATCCGCAATAGTGGGGGAAGAAATCTCATGCAACCAGACTTTGCCTCCCCACTGGAGTAATGCTGCACCCTACGGACAGATCCTGTCTGAAGAATGGCTCCGGCCACCATTGTATTCTGTAACATTTTGCTCTCCATATGGGTAGCCCGTGCTCTCTGTTCTGCGTTGTTTGCTGGAGCATGGTGTTTGAACAGATGGAAGAGCATGAACTTGTTTAGGCAGGTGGTGTGAGAGAATTGGGAGCTGTAAATACGGACAAAAAAGCCACAATAACTCACTCAACCCTGAGTAGGTACCAGCTGGCCTCAGAAGCCCCTTGGTCCTCCTCTAGCTGTTACAGACTTCTTGTTTGACAAGACCCCCCCACCTTCTGTCCAAGGACTTATCTGCCTTCCTTCCCAGGGATGCTGATCCTTCCTCGTTTGCTTTCCATCAACATGCTACATTGTGTTACTCATTTCTGGCAAGATATAAGCACTGCCAAGACTGGAGAATCCTAAACATCTCATTCCTTCTGATCTGCTTTCTCCTCCTTCCCTAGCCTTAGACATTTTTTTTGTTCCCAAAAGATTCTTTACATTAAAATCTATATTTTTCAGCAGAATGTTTGTTGCTGCCAGGAGACAGCTGTGCCTCAGGTACAGAGATGAATGGGTTTTGATTTATGTCTGCTTTGCACCTTGATTCTTCACAGTCTGTGTGTCATATGAAGTGTTGGGAATGAATGGGGGAGGGCTTGAGTGCAGCACAAAGAGGAAATTAAGCTAGGGGCCCTGCAGATTGGCTGTAGAGATTACAGGCTTGTTCTGGCCCCGTAACTAGGTCTGTCCATCTCCTACTCACTCTCTTCTGGCACTTATTGAATAACAAGGCTGGCCTTGGTTCAGTACAGCAATCAAACTAAGCCTTTATCTACATACAGCAGTTGCCTGTGGGGAGAGAAGACAAGACAGACACATGCAGTTAATTGCATTCCTGGAAGGCACCTGGATATTCTGGCAGTGAGTCTAGAACAGGAATGTGTCTGTAAGTGGAAGGTCCCGCTGTTGTCCCTACCGCAGAGCTGGTGCAGGCTCTCACTGAACCAGAGTGAATTCTCCACTGCAGTCCTGCCTGAGACTGCTCTGGTTTCAAGTAGGAAGGTGGGGTCTGCTTGTCAAACCCAGTAGCTGTCCTGTGTGAAGGACCTTTCCTGTGGTTTTGCTTGTTGCACTTCCAAACTGCACAAAGGTTCTCAGCGTGGAAGAGCCTTTCCAAGGTGTTCCTCATTTAAACAAGCCCTACAAAATTCACCAGGAATAAGACCTGGATGGACCTCACTTCCATCCTCAGCACAGGTCTCTGTTCTTACTTCCTGGAAAGAAGCCTGGGCCAAGGCTAGAGCTTATCTCTGGCAATGGAGCAGTTAGGGATTTGCCAAACTGGACTAACACTGTCAGCTTCCTACAGCTTTAAATATCTGGTGTCACTGGAGCTGCAAGTAACCCTACACACCTCAGCAGTTCAAACAAGTGCTACAATTACAGGTTTTAAGGCCACAGCAGTTTCACATGCACTTGTCCCCTCAGCTGCAGTTTCACGTACGCTTCTCCCCTCAGCTGCTGGCTTGTCCTCTGGTGCTGTGGCTACGAGGGCACCAGCTTTAGGCCTAGTGCCCCAGCAGGACTTAGCATTTGCATCTCCCTTCTCCCCATCAAGAATTTTCTGGGCTTTGCCCTTTCACTTCTTGACCTAATTCCACATGAACCCAGTTTTTGGCTGTGGGCAAATGAATCAGGTTCTTTTTTGAATGAAGATTTTATGCCTTAAGAGCAGATGAATAATTTGACTCTTGGGGATGGGTCAGCCTCTACTGGCTGCCCAGCAGCATAGAATCCTAACATGAAAGTATTAAGGGAACTGGAGAACACGCACTCTTATTTGCCTTGAGTTAGTTATCAGACTTAATTTATTTACTACCAGCAAGGACCTGACTGCTCTGGAACCAATCTGATCAGTGACCAGGGGCAAAGCTTCTTGCTGAAGGAAAAACATAGTTTTAACAACTGACATGCAAATTCCCTTTGTGTCCTTCATGCTCGTTTGCGGGGCTGGGGTTGCCATACTCTCCATAACCTGGGATTCCAGCCATTTAGTCTGAGAAGAGCCCACTTCAGAGCTGACCTTACTCAGAGAGAATTTTACATCTTAAACAGGAGCTGTGACTTGTACCATGGTAACCCAGCAGGCCAGCCAAGTACCCATCCCTGAAGGTTCAATTTAGCCGGGGCCGGTTTAGACTACTAATGCTCCGGTCTTTCACAATGAAGACTACACTGTCAGGCTTCACTACTTTCATGCTTTATGAGCCTCACTAGTCTCAGCCCAGTCTTACAACACAGGACTGGAATCTATTAGAGCCCTGACAAAAGGGGCCAGTAGAGGAGAGGACTCCACCAGAGCAGCTCTTCAGCATTGCATCCAGTAGCACTAGAGGTACGCCAGGAGCTTACTTAATAACCATGAAACCAAGGAACGTGCTTTGGACTCCCATGCACCCACAATACTGAGCTCACACCAGGTGTTACGCATTCCTTTTATTTAAAAAGTTATCCTAACAGTGCACACTGCACCTATACAAAAGATCCTTACACAGTCCACACAGAGGTACAGGAGGGCTCTGACAGCTGCCACAGGTCTCAGCTGGCTGACGTGCTACCGCAACCTTCTTGGCACATGGCATGAAAGCAAACAGGTGGGGGCAGAAGCCAGCAGTACAATGGACTACTCGGCAAGTGGAATGTGAGTCCCCGCTCTGAGACAAAAAGATGCGAGACGAACCCTTGCCAGTCCCAGTTCCTTCCGGGGAGAGGAGGAGGGATAGAACCTGTAGGATGAGCACCATAGTCATGCTGGGGGAGGTTACCAGGCTGGAGCAGTGTTGGCCAAACGTCTCATACGCCTGTAAGGAGAGAGAGAGGAAAGGGCACAGTAAGTGATGGGGAAAAAAATGATGCTGCAGAAGAAGTGTACCCATCCAGCTCACATAAATACTGAAGGGCAAGATCCTCCATATGCTCATGGGATGTTAGACTCTCTGCTTGCTGATCAGCATCCTAGACTGACGGAGTAATTGGTGTGTACAAAGAGATCCTTATCCCCACAGCCCCAGGAGGGTTTGGTGTATTTGCCACTGGCAGAATCAAAGGAGGTGCTAAGGACGCTACTAGGAGATGCCTTAGCAGACACACTGTCCAGGGTCCTGTTAGTCTTCTGTCATCTGTATTGCTAACACTTTAGATTTCCCCTCATCTGACTACCCTTAGATTGCTGCTTTGTAGCTCCTTCCCTAAATGGGGCAGAACTGCTCTTGCAACCCACAGTGCTCCCATCTATGCCAACAAAGAAACAGGCTAATCAGGCTGGAGCCTGCAACGTGTTCACTCCTCCTTCAAGCAGCATAAGTGAGGTGTTAGATTCTTTCTTGCTGGCATCACAGCATGGCAAGCTTGGCTATTTTTAAATTAATGCTTTCCTGCAGGAGCAGATCCCAGTGCATGAGGGGGCAGCACTAGGAAAAGCTCACTTCAAGCAGGAGAGGGTTAAATTAACACGTGAAGGCACTTGTGGGTGATGTGATAACAGTTTAATATCCTGAAGCGCGAGACCCCCAACCGCTTCTTCTGGCGCAGGAGTTTGAACTCCTGCCAGTTGGCAGGAAAAATGAAACATCAAAGCTCTTAAGCTCCAGCCCAGAGTGGGGCCAGAATGAAGCTGCTGGAGCGGGCAGTGGCACCTTGTATTTCTGTCCTGGTCCCTGATCTTCTTCTCCATCTCTGCATCTGTCAGGGTCTCAAGCAGGGGGCACCACTGATCAGCGTCGCCGGTGTTGCGAATGGCGATCTCCACGGTCGGCAGTGGGTTCTCGCTGAAACAGAGACAGAGATCAGCAAAGCCCACTCTGCACCTCGCTACAGAACCATAAGCCCTTCCACTGTTTGGCCCTGACCCAGACACTGGAGAGAGGCATAAAAGCAGGGAGTGGTATTTAA